TTTTTTTTTTTTTTGAGATGGTCTCACTATACATGGAGCTCGAGCTGGCCTTCAGCTGTGTACCCCAGGCTGGTCTCAAACTTGAAACGATCCTCCTACTTCGACCTCCGGAATGCTAGGGTTACAGGCATGTACCACCATGCCTGGCTAGTTTTTTTGTTTTGTTTTGTTTTCCCAGACAGGGTTTTGCTTAGCAAAAATTACCTAAATTACCCAGGTTGGGTTTAAAGTTGTGATGCTCCCATCACATGCTTCCAGAGGGCTGGGAATTACAGGTGTGCGCCAGCTGGGCTCTTCTTTTTCTTTTTTTCTGTTTTCTAACTAAGGATGAAGTTCTAGAATCTTCCTTGAGTCTATTCTTAGGTGTTTGTTTTTTTTTTTTTTTTTAGTTTTGCTAAGTTGCCCAGGCTGGGCTTAAAAATTGTAATCTTCCTGCCTTAGCCTCCTGGAAAACTGGGATTATACATATGTGCCACCATGCCTAGCTATTTATTGTCCTGCTAGACTATTGGTCTTCAAGGCCAGCGCCATTGTTGACTCAAGGAGAGGACGCCTTGCGTGGGGGATCACTAGGCTTTTAAAAACTTATGGAGGCCGTGCATGGTGGTACACAGCTGTAATCCCAGCACTGGGGAGGCTGAGACAGGAGAACTACTATGAGTTTGAGGGCAAGCTGGACTACACAGCCAGAAAAAAAGAAACTCTTGGGGCCGGGGAGATGGCTCAGTAGAATAAGCGCTTGCCTGGCAAGCACAAGGACCTGAGTTCAAGCCCTGGTTCTGCTGGAAAAAAAGAAAAAAGAACTGAAGTTGTAGGTTAGTGTTAACTGGGTTCCCTGATTATCCTACTACCACTATCAAATGATGATGCTTTTTTTTTTTTTTTCTTGTTTTTTTTGGAGACAAGGTCTCCCTATGCAGTTCTGGCTGGACCACTTCGTAGCCAAGGCTGGTCTTTTTTAAAAAATGTATTTGGGGCCGGGGAGATGGCTCAGTACAATAAGCACTTCCCTGGCAAGTGCAAGGGCCTGAGTTCAATCCCTGGTTCAGAAAATGAAATAAAAAATAAAAAATGTATTTGGTACAGGGTCTCACTACACACTTGAACTCGTAGTAATCCTCCTGTTTTCAGCTTTCCCAGTGCTGGGATTACAGGTGTGCGCCATCATGCCTAGTCTCATTGGCCAGTGTGCCTGGGGGTGGGGCTGGTGTAGCATGTGGTACTGGGGATCAAGCCCTGGTCCCTGCCCTAGCCTATGCACGCACTTAGACCTCTGAGCTATCTAGCTGGACCCCAGGCTAGTCCTGAATTCACAAAGATCCTCCTGCCTCAGCCTCTGGAGTGCTGGGATTATTGAGATTTTCAAACATATTGAAGAATAAAGAAAATGGTATGAAGTATGACATAATATACAGAACTCCTTATGTCCATACCTGTTACAACAGAGGTAAGCCGGTTTGGCCAAATCTTGCCTCCTACCCCACTCCATGGTGCTAGGCATGGAACCCAGGGCCTGTGTAGGTGAGGGGCAGCTTCACCATGCAGCACACCCTGGCCCTGGCCGACCCTGCACAGGCAACATTTGCATTGTGCTCACCTTGTCCCTGCAGGTGAAGAGGAAGCTCGCTTAACACCTGGGGCTGGGACCTGCACAGAAGCCACCAGCTACGGCCCACTCAGGAAGGATGCAGGACCACGGCTTTGTCCTGAGGGGAGCCATCTCTACCCTGCACTCCATGGTGGCTCCTCAGTTGCAGTAGCTCTGTGTTTAGCCCCACAGAGTCCTGGGGAGCCCAGACTTGGGAGCTCAGGACTGCCTGGGCTTCCTGCTCCCCTCCTCCTCCCTCAAGGCTGAATCTCAGTGGGGCTGCTTCTGCAGCAGAGGACTTTGGCTTCTCTGTACGCTTCCTTCTGCCTGCCCAGGTCTGTGCCCAGCTACCACTGATGCACAGCAGTGGACGAGGACAGCAGGTCTCAGGAGTTGGGGCCGTATCTCCCTGACCCCAGCGCACTCACCCTGGATGTGCTCTCGGGCCTTTTCTTTGGTAACTCCTGGGAACTGTACAATCTTAGTTCAGCTCTGCACTTCTCTCCTCTTCCTGGCCCCAGGTGGGTCCTTCGGTGTCCTTATAAATCCAGCACTGAGTTACCTGACCCCACCCTGCCTTTTGGTTAATTCTTCCTCAGGAAGGCCTCAAGCCTATTCCTTTACCTTTAATGCAAGTGACTGCAGCAACTTCCCAGCTGGTCCTCTCCTGCCTGCTTCCAGTGCCCGGCAGGTGCCGCTTCAGCACACACTGATCCTTTGCTAAACCTCACTGGCTTCCCTGTGCCTGGCACTGGTTTTCAAACTTATTTTACTTATTTTGCCATACCTGGGACTGAACTTGGGACTCTGCGCTTGCTAGGCAGGTGCTTATACTACTGAGCTATCTCCCTGGCCCAAACTTCTTGTTTATATCCCAGTCTTTTTCTTTCCAGTGCTGGGAATTGAACCTAAAGCCTTTACACTGAGCTATATTTTTTTTTATTTAGAGACAGGGTTTCACTAAATTCCCAGGAATTTAAGATCCTCCTACCTCAGCCTCCCAGAATACTGACATAGGTGTGTGCCACCAGGCCCTATTTTTATGCTAATTTTAAGCCTCAGAATCCTCTTCTGTGATGGAATCTTTCCCAGAGACTAACAGTTAAATCACTCAGGCTGAAGTGAGGACCAAAGACCAGAGCCAGCCTGCTGGGCCTCCATTCCCTGCACACTCACAGCCTCTGGGCATGGGCCCCGAGCGAGGGCTCTCCCGGGCGCCAGGATGCGGCGCCCCGAGTCTGAGGCTGCACCCAGGCTCCTTTGCTGCTCCCCTCTGCCCTCTCCTGCATGTGTGCTGTGCTTCCGCCACACTGCCTTCTTTAGGCCTCGGCATCTGCTGTGTTTTTTCCGGAACCAGGGATTGAACTCTGGCCCTTGAGCTTGCACTTATTCCACTGAGCCATTTCCCCGGCCCCTCCTGTTG